AAGAAGCAGGTGTTTGCCTGAAGATCGTGCACATAGTGAAGTGGAAATCCAAGGGCGGTTACCTGAAGAAGGTACTTATTGGAATTTTACGGAACCGTCGTAAGCTGTATCATTCGGGCATGAAGGCTTGGTTGCGGATCTACCATGCAATTAAAGACTTCAGCAGGAAGTCAACACGGAAGTATTTGCGCAGGCTGTTATCTCGAGGTTTTCGTGACCGTTTTCACTTGATTTTGTCCTCTGATCTCACGTTTAGGATCAAGTTTGATGACCGGATCGTGATCGTGGAAGTTAGGAAGGTAGTGAATGACCTGTTGATGACCTGCCCTTTGCCGACTTCCTTTGTTCTCCACGCACGCAGGAAGATTCGCGTCGTAGGAACGAAGAACCCTACGGTAGCTGACATATTGCACAACCATAGACGAGCCTCGACTAATGGTGTGCTTGCCTGTACTTGTGCAGGTATTGACTTACCGAGTGTGAACGAGCACGTGAAGTTTCGACTGAGTGAGGTAGCTGGTTTGCACCCATTGTTGTCAAATGGTAATAACGTGCCAAAGATCGAAGTGATGAACAGATTGGAGGTACTGCATGCAAAACTATGTGAGGGTTTTTCGAATTGGAAGAACCTTGGAGGTATGACTCCTGATTGTTATGGGGTTGACTTATCTGCTTGTCTGACCGCAGGAGTGATCTCTCATCTTGCTTATCTATGGATGATGTCTTAGCTCTGAAAGCACGTTTGAAGGACTTGATCATTACCCCTATGGATAGAAATCCGGTGGAGACGGTTGTCATGTGTCGAGCCACTTACCATGATGCGATGATTTCTACCTTTGTTTGCAATCGTGCATACCGAATTGTTGATATCGCCGAGGGTGAGATCCTGAGAGAGATCCGAGAAGACACCCGACGACGTGGTATTAACAAATCAGTGTACTGGGACAGGAAGGGATCGTTTGGCGCGGCATATGTAATCCCGAAACAAAAGGATTTAGGCCGCTTCAGACCAATCTGTCCATCTTTTAGTGAACCGATGGTCAGAACGGCTCGTCTAATGAGTAAGGCCCTGAATCACCTGCCGAGTCGTCTGCCGAAGAGGTGGCACTTCAATCTCCGCGCTGTATCCGACCTGACAACAGAATTGGAGATGATCAATAAGAGACTGGGTAAGTTACCCGGGGATCGATTGGTCACCACATACTCCTTTGATATCAAGGAGATGTTTTCCAAATTGCCTCAGGAGTCAATCTTGAAGGATGTGGACTGGATTATTGATTACCACTTGACGAAGGGTCATGGGTTCGTGAGAGTGAATACCTGAGGCAAAGGGACAACCTTCGGAGTGACAACGGGGGCCGACCATTGGAAGAAGCTGGATTTGGAAACCGTAAAGCAGTTTGTTCACCTGGAAGTTGAGCACACCTACTTCTATGCCACAGGAGTTTTGCTCAGACAGGCCGTAGGGGTTCCTATGGGCAAGAGCATGAGCCCTCCCATCGCATGCATCATGTGCGCCTTTTCTTAGTACCAGATGATGTGCACACTTGGACGAGATTGTCGTATGTTTGGAGCCTTGAGTTTGATTGACGATGTGTTGCTGGCTGTCTCTAGTCAAGATGAGGCGACATGCAGTCGTATTGTCAAGGCTTTGACTAACTGCTACCCTGACGGACTGGTATTGAAAAGAACTCACGATGGTTCAGGCACCACTGAGTTTCTGGGCTGCCAAATTAGAATGCAGCAGTCTTACCCGTTTGTTGGTTGCGTTCAACTGTCAAGAAATGAGAATAGTATCTGGAGTCAGGGCAGGTTGACCATACAGAATGGACAATCGTTCCATTCATGGGGCAGTAAGAAATAAAAGAGTGCAAGCATAGGCAGCCACTTACTTCGGATTCAACAGAACACTTCGATCCGTCCTGAGATCCCGGGACGAGTGTTAGGATTGCAGCAGGAGTTGGTCAAGAAGGACTTTCCGCCGAGTTTCGTGAACAGGGTCTTCCATTGATTTGGGAGTCAGCGCGATGAGTTGTGGAGGAGAACTATTGAGTTTGTGTGCAATGAATAGCCTTTTGGACAGGGCCGCAGTGGTATCTGTGTGAGAATAGGTAGTTGTGATGGGCTTGTTTTACTCTGTTTTTTGTGCCTGTTGTAGGAGTGTAGCTTTCTGTGGGATTTTTTGATCTTGTTTTTGATTTGGATTTTGATTTTCAGGTCACCGCAGAGGCTCGAACCAGGTACCGGCCAGGACCGGATTAAGGACTGTTCCCGCGCACTTTTTTGGGCCAGCAGACAGATGGGCCCGGTACCCCTGGATTAGCGTTGTACCGATGGGGACTTGGAGCCTGGAACTTTTGACGGATCGGTCAGCCTACCTCTTTTGAGGGGGAAGGACCGTGTAGTTTTTGGTGACGTGACCTATATATACGTGGATGTAGATTAGTTCACTCTCTTTGGTCCCGCTATTGACTCCATCCGTGACGACGGCGGATTGCCAATGCGGGTTTTGGAATGTGGTACTGTGGCGGAAATCTGGGTTTGAAGGTTGGCAAAGTGGAGCCAAGAGTACTTGTTTGCGTCTATGTGTCATTCTGTGACTATGAGTGAGCTGCTTTGTGTGTTCTACACTTAGTCTGTCGCCATACCCATTGTCAACTCAACTGCCAATCCACACTCCTTTTCCCAATGAGCAAGAAAGAAAGACAGAAAGAAAAAAGAAAAAAAAAAAAGGGAAAAAAAGAAAAAAGAGAAAGAAAGAAAGAAAGAAAGGAAAGAAGTAAGGAAGAAAGGAAAGAAAAAAAGAAAGAAAAGAAAGAAAAGAAAGGAAGAAAGAAACATCAGGCTCTATCCTCTTTAGCGTCTAACCCCTCCCTCTACCTTTTGTCGAATAATCAATACCACTGTTGGCTGTCGAAAGGAAAAGAAAAAAAAAAAGCAAAAAGGAAAAAAAAGAGTGTACACCTGGAGGCCACCTCTGCGTTGACTGCATGTGCCATCTCCCCCCAAAAGCAGAGGGGACAAACTGTCCGTGGTCCCATGGACCATGCAGCACAGGGAACCATGGTCCCATGGCACCATGCAGAACAGGCAACGGCTTGATCATTTGCTGAGATGAGCAACGGGTACCCAGACCCACAACCACCCCACCCACGAGGCATTGGGTCAGATGTGAGTCTTGATAAGCTGGCATGGGTGGGATGAGGGTGGGTCTAGGCGAGCAAGCCTGGGTGGGTGAGGAGCGGGTCAATGTTAGGCAAGGGTCATCCGAATGGGTGGGTGAAAGCGGGTGAGCGCTAGGCCTGGGTCACCCGACCCACAGACCCAGGACAACCCATAAGAACCCTCCCCCCCACCCCCCAACCCCCACTTATACATATTTCCCAGCCACGGTCCATCTGCGGACTTCATGAAACGGAAATTCTCCACCCTGGGGCCCCTGGGAAAAAAAGTTCTGGTCCTCGAAAAAAAGAGCCACGCACGTGGCAAATCGAAATTTGGGGTCCTCCTTGGAAAAATGTGTCACGCTCTACCAGTGGCAGCTGGACCACGGCCCAAACAACGGGATGTTCGCTCCCATTAAAACAACCATTACGGGGATCGAACCTAACCACAGCAAGTGGCAAGCCTTTGGTTCACCACCCAATTTCAAACTTGTGGAGCGATTGGAATTTCTGCAGGCAGAGATGCTTCAGAGTTTTGCACCATCATCCAATAATGTCATGTTGCTATGGCGCGTGCAAATGTTCGAAGGGACAGACAATGGGGAACGGGCGGGTGTGGGTGGAAAATAATTACGTACCGGGTGCGGGCGGGTAATTTTGTTCTCGCGGGTGTGGGTGGGTCACGGTGAAGGTTTTTTACGGGTGACGGGCGGGTTGGGTGTGGGAGGAAATTTTCAAAAAAACACTCGCGTGGGTTGGGTCACCTTGAGACTTTTTGTTTTTGTTCTTTTGAGGGCGGGCTGCGCTTAAAAGGTTATGGGCGGGTTGGGTGAAGTGCCAATTAAAAAAAAAAAATGCTCATCTCTGATCATTTGGTATTCGCATATACTGTTGAAATACAGACTGAGCTGGAAATCCAATGGAATCATACAAGTGAAAACAACTCCGAATTTGCCTGGGCCCGGTCCATTAGTGAAAACAACTCTGAATTTACCTAGGGCCGGTCCGTTCAAAGATTGTATCTCCAGGTTGTCGCCCTTTTCAAAAAAAAAGGTCGATCGTTCGTTGCTAGCAAGTCACCACTTCATTGCAGTTCCAGCAAACACAGCGTGTCCGATTCTGTGGGAGGAAGCTTAGGAAGAAATGTGAAAACTCCTTCACAACAAAAGTAGGAAAGCAGAGGACACAAATGGTCAATGGTCCCATGGAACCATGGTCCCATGAAACCATGCAGAACAGGCAACAAGCGAAATCATTTGTTGCCCGGAAGCCACCGCTTCCTTGCAATCCTAGCAAACACTGCATGTCCAATTTCTCTGGGAGAAAGTTTAGGAAGAAGAGATGTGAAAACTACTTCACAATCTGGGAGGAAGTTTAGCAAGAGATGTGAAAACTTGTTCACAACAAAAATAAGAAAGCATGGGACGCAAACGGTCAATGGGCCCAGGGAACCATGGGACCATGGGACCATGCAGAACAGGCAAACAGCTCGATCATTTGTTGTCCGAAAGCCGCCAGTTCATTGCAATCTTTAGCAAACACTGTGTGCCCAAACTGTCAGTGGGAGGAACTAGAAAGAGAGGTGAAAACTCCTTCACACTAGAAAGAGAGGTGAGAACTCCTTCACACTAGAAAGAGAGGTGAAAACTCCTTCACACTAGAAAAAAAGTAGGACTTGTGATCTAGGAGAACAGAACAGAGGCCGACTCTACTACACACAGGAATCATGAAAGCCATCCGGATTAGCCAGTGGAAAAGACATCGAACCCAAAAAAAAAAAAAAGATATCGAACAAAAGTGGTATGCGCTTGGTGCATCATCCACCAAGGGCATATATAATTATCAATCAATTTATCACATAAATTTTCAGAGTTTTTTCACTCACATGATACAAAAATGAAACGTTCTTTTTAGTGTCTATATACAGACCGAGTGACGACTGCAACTATCTCTTACTGCTGATCGATGACCTGATCAATGACCTGCTCGATGACCTCGCCGCGGAATTTTTCCATACCCAAGGCAGCAGACCAACTTGATGTCGTAAACTGTCAGAATCACATAACCACACCATACCTGCCAGTGACAACGTAAAATTTAATGTGACACACTTTCCTCCCCTGTCCACCATACCTTTCACCTGTCCCCCATCCTATCAACCATAGCAGCACACTTCTCTTTCCTGTCCACCATACCTGCCAACCATAGCAGCACACTTCTCTTTCCTGTCCACCATAGCTGTTGACCATAGCTGTCCACCATACCTGTCAACCGTACGGGCACACTTCATGTTCCTGTCCACCATAGCTGTCACCTGTCCACCCTACCTATTAACCCTACCAGCATACTTCTCTTCCCTGTCCACCATACCAGCACACTTTGCTTTCCTGTCCATCGTACCTGTCCACCATAGCTGTCGACCATACCAGTGAGCCGTACGAGCACACTTCTCGTTCCTGTCCACCATACCTATCCACCGTACTAGCACCTTCTCTTTCCTGTCCACCATACCTGTCACCTGTCCACCATACCTATCAACATGCCAACCCACTTCTCTTTCCTAATCCACTATACCTGTCCACCATAGCAGCACCACACTTCTCGCTCCCGCCCAGCATACCTGTCAGCTGTCCACTGTCCTCCACCATACCTGTCTCCTGCCCACCATATCTCTCAACATGCCAACACACTTCTCTTTCCTGTCGCCTATCATACCTGTCACCTTTCCACCATACCAGTCCACCATACCTTTCAGCCTTACCTGTCCAGTATTACCTATCAAGTTCCACAGCACACTTCTTTTTCCTGTTTCCTGTCCCCTATCATACCTGTCACCTGTTTGTTCACCATACCTATCCACCATCCCTTTTTTTCCAAGGATACCTGTCACCAACCCTTGTCCACCATACCTGTCAGCCATAGAGCAGTTTTCGATCAGTGCATCCGTGGTTGAACATCGCCCATTGTTCCTAGGAGACACTCCAAGTCACACTACACACCAAAAAGGATTCCCTTCACAAAATTTGATAACTGGTAAATTGGTAATCCCACATGTTCTAAGAGCAATGAGCATGGCTGGCAGAGTCGACCACCCATGCAAAAAAAAAAAAAAGAAAAAGCGAGGATCCCTGGGTACTGCATCCCCGCCAAGCAGCGCACAGCTTTTGCAGCTGTTGCCAAGCCATTGAGTTGGCGGCCAAAAGGCAATCGCTGGAAGGCAATCACATCCCTTCCTTTTTTTTTTTTTTTTTTTTTTTCCTTTTTTTAAATGAAGGCAATCGCATCCTGTTTGCAAAAAGTGCAGGCAGGATATGACATGACATGGCAAGAGCGACAGAAGACTCACAAAGGTAGCAGTAAGTGCCGAAAAAAATTATGGCCGACGAGTAGCCCGTCGTCATTAGGCTGAATGATATACACACTGGAGTGACTGGACATTGCTGCCTATCCATCTCAACAATCAAACCACTGTTCCTATACATGTCAATCAACAAGTCAGTCCGTCGAAAGCCTGATCCTGCCATCGACATTGTGTTTTCTTCACGAAAAAACAAACAAACAAACAAACACAAGTCGGTCAATCACGTCAACAGAGGAGTCGACCTTTTCTAACTCTCTTCCCTTTGGGACAGTTCAGTTCGAGATTGCTATAACTGTATAACACCCTCTACAATTCTCCCCCAACAGAAGGACCGGCAGAACCATTAACTGCGGAAATGACATAACCGATAGCAGTTTGAGAACAGTCAGCTTACTGGATTACAACCTTGAGGGCATATTCGCACTAGGACTTTTGCTCACTGAGCTCTGGACGCAATTGCAGTCAGATGCATTTAGGAAAGCGCTAGTGTGAGTGTGCCCTGAGGAAGGAAGGAAGGAAAGGGAGGGAGGGAGGGTGGGTTGTTTCGCTAGTATGCAGAGACAGTGATCGACTGGAGACAGCAGCAGTCGGTCAGTCGGTCAGTCAGCACCGAGAGTGGAGAGAAGTTTGCGAAAGCCGTTCAGCATTTGCAGATGGATGGGAGCTGTAGCCCTCCCTCTCGTTCAAAGAGGATCGACTGACGACCGACGGTCAGGCGAGAGGAGAGGGCCTCTTTTTTTTCTTTTTTTCTTTGGTTTGGAAAAGGAGAGCTAAACGTCGGCATTTACGTGCGCTATTTCTTCGGCCGACACTGCTGTTGTCGGCTGGTTCGGCACAATCCCTCTCATTCGCATGAACTCGACCAGATGGTCCGGCAAATCACACAAGAGCTCGCTTGCAAGCATAATATCGCTGTCTGCCATCTGGTTCATTGCCACAAATCGCGTTATGTTCCTTCCTTCACTCTGTCTTGTACGCGAATGCCGGTTCTCTTCGTTCAGAACCTCCATGCTGGAGAAGTCTGCATCCCCAACCCCGGCAATCACTACGGAGAGCGGGAGCTGCGATGCCTCCTCGAGGGCATTCCACGTGGCCTCCATGTCATTTATCACCCCGTCAAGGACAACGAGGAGGATATGGTATTTCTGCTCTCGCTGGTATGCGGGCCCCACCGCTCCCATGGGGCTCGACTGAGAAACAACCCTCATTGCTTCCCGGATGGTTGGTGCAAGGAGTGTAGGTCCGGCCAGTGTGACGTTCTGGAGCGATGTTTGATACGCATCAAGAATCCCTTTCACACCGGACACTTCTGGGCATGTTGCCTGCCCGTTGAGATTGAAGCAATGAGAGATTGTCCCGATCCCAACAAGCGCCCCGAACCCGTACGCACAGTAAACCTTGTTTGCGTTGTAGAAATCCACAACCTTTCCCACCGAAGAAATCACAGCCTGATACGGGTTGAGCTTCGTGCCTGGGTCAAGGTAGTGCAGCGACATCGGCGACTCGGGTGGACCGTTCGAGCTCGTGAAGTCTATCGAGACCATAAACCCGATCTCACAACCCCCGAAGATGTAGTCGAGAAAACTCGGCTCGTTTTCCAGTCGAAGACTCAAGCAGAATACCTTGCCGATGATCTTGGGAGCCTTTGTGTTGCTGTAATTCTGCTGATTTGGAGGTCTCTCCAGTTCAAAACCTTCACCGGTTCCGGAGACGTCCTGTAGGCTTCTAAAGGGCACCAGCACCTGGCCAATCAGGTCATACTGTGGTCCATCGACCTCGTCCGGCTCGAAGTCGAAACACTCGATCAACAGCGGCTGGTCGACATCACCGTTACACAGTTGCTGTAACGGTATGTGTATTGGCATCCATGTCGGATTCACACTATTGTTCATGACAACTTCGGTCTTGTACACTCCCATGTACTCCTCCCCATCGCTCGCACGGGATATCATCAGAAACGGATGGCTGGTGTTCCCGTCGCTCTTCTTCCTGTCCGCCAAGCCACGACATGCCAGCGTCATTTCCACTTGTGCGTTCGACATCAACACCTTCTCTGCCGACACAGTCAGGCTCCCGCATTGCGCATCTCCAGCTGGTGTAAGTGATTCCGTACGTCCACCCTGACTTCGCAAATCCACCTGCAACGTCTTGGACTTCTCTGCCGATACCACCATCTCACACAAGCAGCACTCTGTGGCTCCCAAGAAGGCATGCTCTTCCAACTCGAGTACATCGGAGTCTGCAGGGTCTTTGACACTCGGATGCGCGTTGAACATCGAGAATCTTAGTTTCTGCACTTGCTCGAATCTGTATGATATGCGAATAGGAGTCAACCATTGTGGGCAAGCAGAACCGAAGACGATTTCCGTGCGGGCAACCTCTCTCCAAATGCTCTCCTTTTCCGATTTCAGAGACACGACGACAAAGGGGTTGCAAGTGGACTGTTGATCAGGTTCACATAAGTTGTCGGCCTTCAAAAATAGATCGGTCAGGAAGCTCTGAACCATAATATTTCCGTCAACAAGCACATCAAAGAGGGCGATGGCTTCTTGAGCATTTCTACTGATAAATTCACCATTCTTCAGGACACGTCCGAGGTGCCTTTTCGCCACTTCTTCCATGGAAGTGCAATCTAGAAATCGCAGACATTGGAACAAAGAAGGTGATACCCCCATGATGCTTCCTTCCTACCTAGCCTCCTTATCCAGTCCCTCCCTCCCTCCTCCCTCCTCCCTCCTCCCTCCTCCCTTCCTCCCTCCTCCCTCCTCGCTTCTCGCTTCCTCCCTCCTCGCTTCTCGCTTCCTCCCTCCTCCCTCCCTCCTTCCCTTTCTCCTCCCTCCCTCCCTCCCTCTTCGCTTCTCTCCCTTTCTTTGTTCTTCCCTCCCTTCCTCCCTCCTCCCTCCTCCCTCCTCCCTTCCTCCCTCTTCCCTCTTCCCTTCCTCCCTCCTCCCTTCCTCCTGCCTCTCTTCCTCCCTCCTCCCTCCCTCCCTTTGTCTTTCCTTCCTACCTTCCGTCTTCCTTACACCTCTTTGTTACTTTCCTGGGTTCAGCGTCCTCTGTGAACAGAGGAAACCTCTGCAGAATAAGAGCAGCAATTCAGAATGCACATGCAGCTTTGGGCACGCTGCTCTCACTTGCACAGTATTTTGCCTGTTTGACGATATAGCTATAGCACCTGCAACAAAATGGAAACCAAGCGAAAGCATTGGTCACTGAATCCCCAAGATACAAGGGATAACAAACATGACGGCAGTGCTGTTGTGGAGTTGAGCGATCTGACAACACAATCACTGAGTGGGAGTCATTCGACGCTAGGTTGGTGTGAGGGTTACACAAGCCCGGAATCAGGAATTGTTGACCGGCCCCAGATAAATTCAGAGTTGTTTACTCATCTCGATTCCAACTCAGACAGTGCCCAAGTACCCATGGATCATCCATCTGGCGCCCAGGCAAAGTAACTGGAAGGAGGTTCCCATTGGTGCCCCCCAGTGGCTCCTTCCTTTTTCCTGAGCCCGACCGCATGACAGAGAAGGGCAGGGCGCTGGACCTGGTTTCCAGCAACATGGTCTTTCCCAGACTGTCGCATGATCATGTTTTTTTTTATTTATTCTTATTTTCACCTATGTACTTCTAAAGGACGCTGAGCCTGTTTCTCAGCAAAGATGTATCAATGGGACGCTGGACCCTATTTCCAGCAGGTGCTGCTCCCCACCAATAGATGAAGCCTCCCCGATGGTGCTAGTGGTGTCTGCTCTTATCAGCACCCCTAGCAGCCGCTTGGGTTGTTTCAAAATATATATATATATATATAATATATTCAAGTATATTCAATCCATATTGAAGAATGAATAATAATCTCGTTTAAAGAATGATATATATATATATATATATATATATATATATAATGTTAAATTATTAATTATCTTAAATTATTGTAAATTGTAATTCATATTTCCTATTTTAACGAATCTTCTTATAGATGACATGTGTATTATATTACTTTATATATATATATATATATATATCGTCAAATAGAACTGCCCGGTAAACCGTAGGCAGAGAGGGAGAAGAGGACAACAAACGAGGGGCTGTGACAAACTGTTTCGTCGGAGTTTCACCGACTCATCAGGAGGCTATATATATATATATATTGATTCCGACTCAGATCTGTATTTCAACAGTTTGTGGATGTACCAACTGAGCTATGCCCATGAGTAGGGAGGAACATGTTGTCTGTGGGTGATAGTAGAAAAGTGTTAGTGCCTGTCGTACCCACTCTCTACGTACTCTCCACTCAGGGTTAAGTTGTTCGCTCATTCATTATTGCCATCCTATTACGTTTTCTTTTCTTTTTCCGGAAACTTCTGGTGCCGGGGGTTCACTTAAGGAGGTGGTAAGAGCAACCCCCTTAAGCAGGCCCGGAGTTGAAGGCGCCGTCTATTGGTGGGGAGCGGCACCTGCTGGAAATCAGGTCCAACATTCCAGCCATCCCAGTGCTATTTGTCAACTCATTCATAACACATCTTCTTCTTCTTCTTCTTCTTCTTCTGCTGCTGCTGCTGCTGCTGCTGCTGCTTCTTCTTCTTCTTCTTCTTCTTCTTCATCTCTCCTCCTCCGCCTCCCACTTATCTTCTTCTTCTTTCTCTTCTCCTCCTCCTCCTCCTCTTCCGCCCATCTTCTTCTTCTTGTTATTTGACAGCCATACCCTAACGCCATACCGCCATACCCCGCCGTTATACCTCATCATGTTGACATGTCGGCCTGTCAAACCCACAAAAACATGCAGAGCCCCGAACCCAGTGTGTACTTGGTATCATACATGCAGCAAACAGCAGGCAACATGCATGCAGAGTCCCCAACACCCAGAAMCCCCCCCCMCCCCMCACCCCCCCGCCCTCACACCCGGGCAACTCGTCCCCCCCCCAAACCAGAATTTTATTGCAGATTCGGGGTCCTCTCGCCGAGCACAGGAGGACCCCACCTTAAAAAAATAAAATAAAAAAATTCTGGGCTGTTTTTTTGCCCGCCCGGCTTGCCCGGGCGGCCCACCCGGGCCTAGCCCGGCCGGGCGGCGTCCGTACTCAGAATTTTTTCAAAATTATACGCCAAATGGAATGGCTACAAAGGCATTTTCATGGCTACATACTACATAGTACATAGGCCTTTATTTTCCGTTTTCTTTTTATAATTGAAACTGCTGTGGGAAAGCCTATTACAGGGGTTGATTGGGTTGATGGGTGCAATCCCATGTCCCCTGCAATAGGCCTTTCCCCGTGGGCAGGCTCCAATCTAATGGTGGGGAGCATCACCTGGTGGGAAACCGGCCCCAGCGTCCCAATCAAAATACAGTCACATTTTTTATGTGGTGTCCCATTTTTCTCCCTCTAGTGAGGCACCCTTGTATGCTTACGTCTTGCCCCCTTTCTCTGTTTCGGTTGCTGGCCCCATCCCATTTCTTCCCTCCACTAACTGTGAAATCAATGCCCTGTTCCCCTCCCCCTGTTCCCTCCCCCTCTTCCTCTGTGCCCTCGTCTGTTATCTCTCTGTGTATCCATTCCTCTACCCTGTGACAGCTTGAATCTGGCTGGGTATTTGGAGCACAAGCAGAGGGTTCTTTTTTTTTTTTTTTTCGGAAGCAGAGTTTTCACTTTGGGATCTGGACAGATGCCTGTGTCATAGTGGACTGGTACAACAATGTGTCTTCGCGCAGATTGGTTCCTGGTCCTTACACTTGGGGCCTGGCCACACCACTGTGGAAACGGGAAAAGAACGAATGCATATTCCTGCAGAGATGGGAAAGATACATCTGTTACTATAAGTAGTGACAGATGCATCTTACTGCTTTCGGCAGAAATTCGTTCTTGTGTTTCGTTTCTACCGTAGACTTTCTTGTGTTTCGTTTCTACTGTAGACTATGTCTAGGCGACTACGCAGGATATAAATAGGTTGATCGATTTTTGGTCAGTACCTTCCGCGACCGAAGACCCCTGACGAGTGCCGGTGGCGGCTGGCTGAAACTAGTAGGGTCCATGCCGCCAGGAGTTCAATGTTTTTCATACGACAAAGTCACATTCGGGAGACTTATTTTTCATCCTTGCGTAATCTTCATTCTTCTCCATCTCCCTTGTCTGACGCTCTTTTCGCTCCACCCTCTTATTCTTCTTCTGTGTGGTTGCTGTTGATTGTTCTCCTGAATGAATGGTGTGGCGTGGACTTCATGTAATTGGCTGTCACCGTTGACCCGATGCTCACTAGTAGTAGGAGTTGCCGAACGTATACACTGAAGAACTGCTGTTCAAACACTTTCCTTCGCAGAGTAACCACCGTAGAGGTCAGACTACTGGTTGTGTGGCTTCGTTATCCGAGTGTGTAGTATCAGTGTTAGTAGTGTTACTATGGCTAGCCCGGCAGCTACGAGTGTGCGTACGTGCTATAACTGTGGCGACCCCAACCATTTTGTGAGATGGTGCCCCCATCGACAAGGTGTTACAAACTCTAATCCTATCTCTGCTAATGCACAGGCTCCTATTCTGGCTCTACCTCCTGCCCCGGCGCACCCTCCCGTGCCCCCCCCCCTCTTCCCCCCCCTCCCGCGCACCTGCCTTCCTCATCTACGGCTGTGTCGGTATCATCTGGTGTGAGCGGGCAGTATCAGAAAGGTAGTGGTTGGTTTAATACCAACCAGCGAGTGAGTGTCTTAGAAGATACTGTGGCTCAGCTGAAAGCATGGTATGATGCGAAGGTAGCCAAGGTAGTAGAGAACCAGCAGGAGGAAGAGAAACTTAGACAAGAACGTGAAATTGAGGAACGAAGACTAAGAGAGAAAAAAGAAAGAGAAGAATTCCAGAAGGAAATGAACGACTCGTGGAATGCTAAGTTTGAGACTGTGTGTGGTGCTCTCGATGCAAGCAAGAGTGCAGGTTCGAATAATCAGGAGCTGGAGAAACTCAAAAGCAGGTGGAGGTTCTGCGAATAGGACAGAGGCAGGTGATGGGTAATTCCGGAGCATCTACAAGCAAGCCAATGGTTAGCGATGATGCTGTGCTTGCTCGCCTTCTCCATGACCAAGACGAGATGAGATCCAAACTGAAGGCTGCAGTTGGTGCATGCAAGAAAGTTGAAATACTGGAGAATGAGGTACGGGTGTTGAGGAAATCACATGATGATGCCGTGCAGGAGGCGGAGACATGGAAGAAGGAGGCGCTGAGGACGGGCAACAAGCGCAGTCACATAGCCACGTCACCTGCATCAACTTTGAAAATGCCGCCGGCCACTACACCTCGGAAATCTCCGAGTAGGGAGCGAACGAATGTCGACACGATGCAGCTCAGACAGTTGCATAATTTGGAAGTGGAAACGCTGAAGGAGCTCAGGCTGCAGGAGCTGAATAGGCGGCGGGAGGCGGAACAGGAGAATGAACGGATGAAAGAGGAGTTGGCGAAGCGAGACGCTGATAAGCGTGTGACGCCGAAATCTAGCTTTCGTGAGAAACTTGACGAGGCTGAGGGAAATGTTGGAGGGTCAATTCTGCGAACGGAAAAGGGCAAGAAGAAGCCCGGTGCAGGGAACAAGGTTGGCAAGGAGAATGATCGTGAATCCTTCATATGGGAGGCGAAGAAGGAATTCCGGAACTTGAAGAAGGATGACGTCATGGACATCTGCATGAAGGAAGGAGTAAAATATACAACTCTAAGCGAAACTATCACAGAAATTATCAGTAAGCGTGCTGAGCGGGCCTTTGGGAAAAAGGCGGCGGTGCAAGACATCTCCGACGATGTTGCAGGGGAGCCACAGAACGGGGGTAAGGATGACGGGAGGGACTCGGCCACTTCTTAGGGGCCCTCCCGAGCGCGACTGATCTTTGGTCTTTAGCTCTCTCATGTCAACAGCTTAGATCTTCTCCTCCTCGCTTTCTCAGACTGAAGAACTTAGACTCCCTATTTCGTCTAACTGTCATAACACTTATTCTGCTAGGACTTATCCCATGGGCTCGGAAGCTTTCTCCCTATATTCCTACCTGGTGGTGTGGGGATGAGGTGGTGAAGGGGCTGCTGGTGTTATGTGCTGGTACCTCTGTGGTGTCGTCATCTATATGTGGGGAGTACAAGGCGAGATCTTGGGACTCGTTGGAGTGAGCACGTTTACAGGGCCAGTGATGCTTCTCTTATTAGTAAGGGAAGACGTAATGAGCAATTATATAGGTGGTTACGAAGGTGTGGGGCGGGTAAATATGTAGCAATTCCCATCTGCTGCTGCTCTGATGAGGATCTTGAAACGACAGAAAGATTCTTTATTTGATTGTTCTCCTCGTCCCTGAATGCAAGAGATAAGCCAAGAAGGGCAAGGAAACGGCGTTTGGGGAAACGAGAGCGACGACAGCTGTTTTCGAAGCAAGGAGCAAGGGTTGTTGGGGTTTCGAGAGTGAATGTGTCAACATCTCTGGTACTCTTCCATTCGTCTGTGGGGATTGTGTCTTCTAGCCTGCTTCATATTCTGAATTACTGTAGGGATAAGGCTATCTGCGAGTTTGTGATGGTATGTAAGGGAGGGTCCGTATTACTTGACAATTGGAAGTTAGTTAAGAGATGTTATGGTTCGTCTATTGTCTCGTGTGACTTTGGAAAAGACCAGCTGCGACGTTCTAAAGGCTGGATTGCTGATGGCGTAGTTCTGCGATTTGAGTCGGTTGTGCCTTTTTCTGTCGGCGGGCGCTGGTTTTGAAACCGGGTTTGAGTAAGTTGCTTAGCCAACCCTCTACCCATACCGCGTTACGGCCATGGAGCTTTGGGGAGTTGGTTTATGTGTTCTCTGCTGTAAGATGCTTTCAAGAGAAACGGACTCGTAGCAGATTGAGGGTCATCTTGTCTAAAGTGGTGGTGGCACGATTTGGAGTGCATATTTGGCAGTGATTGGTTGTCCGGGTCATTTATGATGATCGGTATTGCAAAGTTGGAATTTGTAAGACATGTGCAGGATTGGTTGGCGATCTCGACATCCATCCTGCCTGGAAGGACATGATTGTCAGACACACGCACGTCGTGTGGTGCAAAAACAAGACGGTGGGAGATATTATACACAACTTTTAGCAAGGCATGGAGATTTCGGTTGTCGATGTTTGGGTGCTGATGTGTCTTTCCCTCGTGTTGATGGACACGTGTCTTTCCGTCTCAGTTCCTTTGATGGTTTCCCCTCCTATATGCTCAACTCCAGGAATGTTTTACGTTCATCTGTGGTTGATTCAATTTCTAGTCCTAAAGGGCAGATTCTAAAATCCTGTCACTCTACTGAGTATCTTCCCAAACTGAAGTCTGAATCACTTCGCTGTGGTAGGCTTTCCTCATGTCTTCTAAAATCTTATTTGGTACATGGAGGAAGTGGTATCTCCTGCTTTGTTGCCGATGTGAGATCGTGTGAGGGTAGGTTGAGCGGGTTGGTGTGCTTCCCCCTAGATCATAACCCAGGGGACACATTTGGATGTTGCCCAGTGGTATATGGGCAAGGAATGAAGAAGCTGTTCCTAAACAACCCATCGTTTGAGACGGCGGTGCAATCAGAGCAAATTATACTGGACAGGTGTAGGAGTGCGTATGAGGGCAAGGGCTTCGGAAAGGTGGGTGTATGGAAGAGGGATGGAGTTTTTGGGAAAGCGTATTGTCTACCCAAGCATAAGGATGTCTCAAGGTGGAGACCGATATGTCCATCGCACAAGGAAGACTCTGTGGTGGGTGCGAAGCGAGTGGCTTGTTCTATCAATCACCTACTCGGGAAGTTACCGGATAACATGCATTTTAATCTTCGTAGAACAGATGATCTGATGAAGTGAGTCTCGGTTATCAATAGGAAAATGAGGAAAGGCAGTGCGCTGATCGGGGGTTCATTTGACATCAAGGAGATGTTTTCTAATTTGTCTCACCATTCCATTCTTCATTTGCTACGATGGGTATTGGACCATTGGATGGGGGAGGACTTTTCTAGGGTGATGGTCCGAAAGTATGGCAAAATGGTAAGATTGGCAAAGGGAAAAGGAGAGGAAGGGTGGGTTTGCTTGAAGTTTTCTGAGATTATGGATTTCGTTGTATTTGAATTGGACAACACGTTCATTTCAGCTGCTGGGCAGTTGATCCGCCAGATGGTAGGCATCCCTATGGGGAAAACAACGAGTCCCACACTGGCATGCCTTCTGTGTGCCCATGATTAGTTTCTATTCCTTTCTTCGCTCAGAGCAGATAGGACGCTGGTACATGGTTGCAGGACGGTCGATGACGTGTCGATATTCGTCAGTTGTCAGGAAGATGATGCAGGATCCAAGCTCCAAGCAGATCAGTTGCTTGAGCGTTTTCGGGGGTGCTATGATGAGAAGTTGGTACTGGAGCAAACAAACTCTGGTCAGAAATGAGATTTTATTGGATGTGAATTGCAGATTTTGATGAATCCTTGTCGGATTGTCTGCCAGGCGATGCATAAGAATCAGCACTGGTATTTCAGTGTCTGCAAGATTTCGTTTCTTACTCGAGTCGTCAGCAAAAGCTGGCTGTGATCAGCTCGTTCTTTCATCGAGCAAGGACTTACATGTCAATCCAAGGGATAGAATTCCACTTTCTTCTTACTTTGAAAAATGAGTTGTGGATGCGTGGCTACCCCGACGAGTTTTTTGACGGGGCGCTGGTAAATTTTCACGTAAATTTGCAGGCTATTGGGAGCAGTGGATTCCTATTCTTACTCACTGGGATCGGTTTTTGTGGAGGGTCAGGTAGTGAACATTGGTCGTTCTTACTGAGAGGTGCATAGGAACACGGTGAAACATTACGCATGTGGGTGTTGGGCCTTGTTATGGGACCCGTGTTGACGAAGAAGTCTTCACTTGAGAGTAGTACTGTTTCGGCGATTTGATTGATCTAGAAGTCTCCACATACGGTCGTATGGGAATGCGCCAGTGGTGACTGGCAGTCATAGGATTTTATTTCTGCAAAGTACAGGTTTCGAACCCTTCTGTGGTGGCGGTAAGATTGACGAATTGTGAATGTTTGATAGTCGGTTTTTTCTTGGGGTTTACGACCATTGATATCAATCAACGTACCATAGACTATCTCTAGGCGACTACACAGGATATAAATAGGTTGATCGACTTTCGGTCAGTACCTTCCGCGGCCGAAGACCCCTGACGAGTGCCGGCGGCGGCCGGCTGAAACTAGTAGGGTCCAGGCCGCCAGGAGTTCCACGTTTTTCATACGACAAGTCGCGTTCGGGAGACTTATTTTTCATCCTTGCGTAATCTTCATTCTTCTCCATCTCCGTTGTCTGACGCTCTTTTCACTCCACCCTCTTATTCTTCTTCTGTGTGGTTGCTGTTGAATGTTCTCCTGAATGAATGGTGTGGCGTGGACTTCATGTAACTGGCTGTCACCGTTGACCCAGTGCTCACTAGTAGTAGGCGTTGCCGAACGTATACACTGAAGAACTGCTGTTCAAACACCTTAGAGGCTTGCCACACAAGCTGCCTGTGTCGAAACTCTCTTTGAGTTTTTTTCGACAGCTGTCAGAAAAAAATTGAAAGTCGGCGGTCGACAGTTTACCCCCCCTTCGCCACACGGGCTGTCGAGGGGCAAGGTTTTTGGTCATGCCCAAATGGACTCCACCTTTCGACAGGGCACGGGTGTCACGGAACAGTCCCTGACAAAGATGATGCAAATTTGAACGTTTCTCGAAAGTCAGGTGGGTGGGGCACTTTCCAATTTCCATCTCCTGCAGGCGGGAGGCGGGAGGAAACGAATGGGGGAGGGTGGGTGGCTGTCGAGCGTACCATTCGGACTGACACCTGTTGATTTTTTTTTGAGCCAATGCAATTCTTCGAAAGTCTGTGTGGCAATGCAAATTGTCGAAAACCTGGTTTTGGACAGGCTGTGTCGCGAGCCTCTTGCCCGGAAAGCAGGCCACAACAGCGACAATGAGGGGAAGGCCCACAAGCTTACCGGGCTCGCCACACCACTTTTGAAAACGGAAAAACTTCGAAGAGGCGTCAGACTTTTGGAGAGTCATGAATTTCGTTGTTGTTGTTGTTGTTGTTGTTGTTGTTGTTGTTCTTGTTCTTTCTGGAGAGTCATGAATTTCCTGAGTTTAGGCACGCTCACCACATTAGCACTCTCGAGCTGGCCGACTTCTCACAGCTGATTGCAAAAGGACAATGGGACACGCGTGAAAGAAAGAGGCCAGTTACTACCAGGCCCACAGTGATTGCCGGGAGCGGTCAGGCATGGATGTCCTGAGAAGACGAGGCCACCTCCCATCCGATCCTCGCGTCAATACTCCTAGCGCACCCCCTATCACCACCATCCTACCTCAGTGTCACCCGCACTCAGGACCATTAACCTAAGGGGTGGCTGTCAAAAGTCGCATGGTCACAGGCGGGACAAACGTAGACAGAGAGGGCGGCTGTCAAATTTCGTATTCTGACAAATATTTAAAATATATTTTGGCAATTGCCCTCTCTACGTGCCGGGTGGCAAGGGGCTGTTGAAAACGGTGTTTTCGACAGTGGTGTGGAGCCGCTACTGATAGGGGGGCAGAGGACTCTTGAAAGCTATGAGGTTGCAGGCAGGAGATGCCACTCTTTTCGAGAGGACCTCTCAAGAGTCAAAACAACTTCTTTTTTCTTTTTATTAACTAAAAAGAAGGGCAGTTCCCTTGAGATATGATCCTTGGCCTTCTGCCATGTCATAATGGAACATATCTTTCTTCCATTACCTACCTACCGGTAGTACCTACCACTACTCCTAAGGCTATAAAGCGAACCCCTGCAAGCATAGCTTTCAAGTTTCTACCTCTCTTCGGTGAAGGGAGGTTACCTCTCTCGGTGCAGAGAGGTAACGGCATGTTTGCCCCTTTGCCCTTGTGGGGTTTAGGGTGCAGAGTTGGGGCCGCCAGTGGGGGCCCGACTAACACAAGGAGCGAGCATTTGCCAGTAACTG